TCAAAAATCCACGAAGACTTATGTCTGCTCACTAGACTGCGTACGCGTTTTCTGAGCATAAAATGGAGCGGCAATCTGCTCTACCAGACTATATGAAAACCCTGCTGTCACGTGACCAAATGTTGAAGGCTAGTTACCACCTGCTTTTCTGCTAAGCCAATCAGAATACAGTGCAGTAGAAAAGCTGATTTTATGTCTTTGTAATGTGCAGTTTTCTGCTCCCTGAAAAGCAGAACGAACTTTCTGTTGTAATGCAATTTTCAATTTTTCTTATTCTTTTTATTTTTTAATTTTCCTCTGCTGGCGGCCGAAAAGTTGCTACATGTATCTGCTTTTTGCCTATCAAAAAACAGCTGAAAAGTGGAACGTGGATGAGTACTTTTCAACTGCTTTTTTTGATACCAGAGAAGCCGAAAGTGGCCCTCTGCTTTTCTGCCCTCAAAGGGGTTGTGGACGGGGTCAGGAACCTGTAGGTTACGAACAATTTAAGTTCCTTTCTGGGGATCATAGGCTACGTAGAAACCAACAATTACGGTCCTCCGGTTGTTCCTCAAGTCGTTCGACCCTCCTCCCTGAACGTCCGAAAGGAGGAAATGAGCACCTTTTCGGTCACCGAGGCTGTTCACGCAAAACGTTTTTTTTTCTGCTTTTCTGACAGGAAAAAAACAGACGGCCTCATTTTGGCCGGCAGAGCGAACGCAGAAAAAGTAAAATCTACTTTCTTAGCTCTGGAAGCTTGAAGTAGAAAACATGCATTCCCAAAAAAATGTTCGTTCTGCTTTTGAGGTAGCAGAAAAGTCGAAGATTGCATGTTACTGAGACGTAAAATCTGTTTTCTACTACATGAAATTGATAGCAGAAGAGCCGATGGCCACGTTTCGTCCTCCGCGTCCATAAAATAAATTGGAAGCCGGCGTCCACTGCAAACAGCCAGACCTGTTTACAAGGACTTTAGACATAAAGCAGTGTTTCATACCTCAGCTCTACAAATCTACTCATCACAAAATCACAATCAATGAAAGACGATTCCAAAGGGCAACACCTCAAGGAAAACATCTTCAATTTCCTCTATTCATCCTGCAACTACAAAGGACTGCCACAAATATCTTTCCGGCCAAGAACAACTCAGTGCAACCCTTCTATAGACAACATAAAAGCTCATTCTGTGGGGTCTTTTAAGTCAGAACTTTCAGGGATAAATTTAATTCTAAGGTGGCCTAAATGAATCCAGTAGCAACCACGCGCGTGCCGTTGTTGAGTTTGCTTGCAGTATACCGGTATGACAGACAGATTTGATAATGCCCTGGGTCTGGATGGCCGGGCTGTGAAGCACTTCCGTAGCACAACATCACAACGTTTACAAAAAACTCCATTTTGCAAACTGTGTGTACATGCACATGATGAAAGACCAACTCCGCATGTCAATTATTGAACATCAAAATCGGGAAATATAAAGTTACACAAGGAAAATGTTTACATTTATAGCAAAAAATATTACGGGTCTAAAAAGAAGTGGTTTAACTCGTTATTATTTTCCAAACTGTTTGTGGGGTAGGACCTTGCAAGAGGGGAATAGTGGATTGAGCATACAAGACAATTTACAGAAGACAACGCACACGAATTTAACGTTTTCAGTGCACATGGCTTTTTTCCCAAAACATTCCTACCGTAGCAATAAAGACAGGGTTTTTTGGTAAAGCTATAACTTGAAAAGTCAGGTCATATAATGATAAAAAATCAAAGTCTTCCATATTGTGACTATATTAAAATCATCAATAAGTTATTGTTTCCTAATACATGCACATTCCAATCCATGAAAAGCTTCACAACTATTTTTACATACTAAATCATTCAATCTGCAAGTAAAACATTCTGAGGTCACCACACGCGTGCAAAAAGTAACTCCAATGGTTCACACATTCTGTCATTAAGTAAAAAGCAAATATGTTGTGTTAGTGTCAAAATACAGTAATTTTGAAACGTGTATTTAATCTCAAAATTCTAATACTGGAAGAACTAATTTAATGATTCCAAAAGTCTAAAAAGAAAATCGGGCAGACGACAAGAAGGGAAAATAGTATGCAGATAAAACTACAACCACTGAGGTGCATGTATACTGATAAACATACTCCTCTGAGGAGACAAAACACCTGTGCAAATGGAAATCAACAGCGGGTGTTTTTTGCAAGGTCACACCACCACCACAATTGCCTTTCTTTAACAAATACATTTTGAAATCATATACATGCATACATGCTTCAAGTACAAGGATTTAATATTTACAATAAGAATTTATGTGTTGTGCAAAGTAAATCAAGCCCTAAATGATAAAAATCACATGACTTAAAAAGTTACCAATATTGCTAGTTTTATTAAAATTTGTAAAAGAATTACAAAAAAAAGATAAACTACCTGTGTTACCTGTCCTGATGATCTGTTGGTCCATAAGGAGAAAGCACAGAGTCTTTGGTCACAAAAGCAAAAGGAAAACCCTTCCAACAACAAAAAAATGAACAAACAAACAATCACACAAGCACACAAATAAAACATAAATCCAAGCCAAATCCATAAACTCAAGCAACTGTGCTAAGTGAAAGATTTTACAAGGGTATCATCTGCTTTTTCTTGAGAACTTTGCTAATAAAGAATTCTGTCCACTGTGTTGTCAGAAATACATGTACAATCAGTGCTATGAAATATCTAGAGATTTCACATGCAATACAGTGGAATTCATTTGTATAAAATATTTCATGCAAATTGGCAAGTAATAAAATTGGTCTTCTTGTGTTTCACTTTATCTTAAAATAAACTCAACCTAGAATTATGCAATAAATTTGAAAATATCTTTCCATAACATACATGTACTTCTCTGACAATAACAGAACTGGTGTTAGAGCTTGCAATAATTCTAGTTGCTCCATGGCCAAAATCACCGATCATACGTTGGTTTGCAGAAGGATTTATGGCAAATAAAAATTATTACCAAGTGCATTAACTCTTATACCTGAGTAATGACAACATGGCTCTCTGGCAGGATTTGAAGCTTATCAACCAACACATAACTGACAAGTCAATGCACGTCATTCTTCACACTACAAGGAGATACTCAACAAAGAACATATAGTGCATCAATGAATTTGTGACTAATCAACATACCATATCAGCTGATTGACTCTCACAAGATTTGTCTGGGGACTGAGGTTCCTCTCCATTCAATTCATCATTTATTGATTGTGACAACAATGACTCTTCTTCAATACTACGAGAGTTTGGGTCACTACTTCTATGTGGTGACCTAGTGATACCTCTGAAGTGGCTAGGTGTTTGCTGCCCTCTGCTGGGCGAACATGAAGAGGCAGTGGGACAAAATGATTCAGGTTTGGCTGGGAAACTGCCTTCTGAGTCAGAACTGAAGAGACGTGTGTAAACATTGGAAGCTACATTTCCTTTTGAGTCTTCAGAAGATCTAATCTTTCTCTCAGATGGTGTATTTGAGGAAGACCCCTGGCAACTGTGACTTGTATTGGAGGTCTTATGTCTGATAAGAACACCGACTTGATTGCAGGAGTTCTTTTCAGTTCTCTCATTGGAACTTGAGATCTGTCTAAGTTCCACATCTTGAGATGAACTGACACTGAAGCATTGGTTAACAGAGCTTGATGAACCTTGCTCCGTTGACTCATCTCGATCACTTGGTGGATGAATTGTAAAGTCCCAATCACGTTTAACAGTAAATCCAATCCACATGAATAACCAAAAAGCCATGTATATTGTGTCAAAAATCATGCAAGCAAGAAGTCTTGCATCCTTGGAAACTTGATAAACACCAAGATATTCAATGGTTAATGGCACCTTACAAGCCACAAACACACACATAACTAATGCAGCTGCAATATTAGCAATGTATCCATTACACTTGAGAGGAAAGCTTGTTGGATTAATCGGAATACCTGTTCTTGCAGCTTTCTGTTTATATTCTGCTTCTTTGAGACGACTATACCCGTACATGTAAGTAATAACTGCCGACATGAATACTGTGATATTATTACTGAGGTAGACACCAACCAATCCGGTTGGCTTTTGAAACACAGGATCTGCTTGTATACCGTAAGTATGCCAGCCATACCAGTGAAGTTTGTACAAAAGGGAAAATCCTATAAAACCGAGTGCATACTGAATAGCATTAAGCATCAACTGTGTGCTGAAAACAAATGCAAAACCTTTATGACAAAACCAGAAGACGTCTGCATAACGAACTCCATAAAAGAATAATGGAATTACATAATTAATGTAGTTGAGTGTGACCATGTAGACTTTGAAGGGATCAACAGAGGGAATTATCTTGGACAATGTATGATTAAGGTTGGATGGAAAGAAAGAACCTGAATTATTGTGCATGGACCGAGCAAGCTGTTCAAATTCTTCCACAGTAGTCACGCCTACTAACACTTCGGAACGCCATATTGCATCTGTAAATAAACATAAAATAATCATGTAAAAAGCATATGATGTATAGCTTGTTTGTAAATTACATTACAATGGTGGCTACCTGGGATCATTTCATTAAAAATGTTGACAAAAAGTATGCTAGCCATGCATTACACATGAATAGAACAACTAAGTGAAAAGTTTCCCATCTTCAGCTTACATGTACAGCTAACAAACATTGTGCATTTTAATGCTATATCTTATAAGAGTTAAATTTGAAGTTGCTAAGTATAAAACTTAACATTTTAGTAATTATTTTCTCAGTGTGTGTGTAAGGTACACACAGACAACTGGACACTGTGGGGCAGCAACAATTATACATAATTTTCATCATTCAGATTTCTTGTGTAAATATCTAACCTTGGGAAAACCCTTTCTTATATTCTCTCTTTGTGTTCCTGTTACAAAGCATCTAACCGTTTGTGATTGTGTTAAGTCATACGCAGTCATTTTATAAGTTCAAAAGTTTTCATCTAAATTCAAAGTAATGACTGAAAACATCTGGAAAACTCACCTGAAGTTAATAAACCATATTGTATAGCTCTGGCCTGCAGAAACATCAATGGTAGTAAGAGGCAAAATGCTGAGATAAAATGAAGAGTGGCTCCGACAGGTCCTAAGTGTTTGGTCACTCTACGAATAGCCTGAAAGTACTTGACAATCTTCCGATTTGTCGACAAGCTAAAAATGTCCCCCCCCAAAAAAAAGAGAAAGAATGGACGGATAAGTAAACTCAAAGCTAAAGAGACACTTTGCGTTAAATTAGTCTCAACACTTCCATTTTTGGATATCATTGTTTAATATTCAAAGATTTTAATGTATGTAAGGGGTTTTGCCCTTACCCAACGTATATATTGATAAACACTGCATGCTCAGTTCTTTTCCGAGAATTTGTGAAAAAATTCACAAGCTTACTCGGGTGGGACTCAAACCCACGACCTCTTGCTTACCGGCTCGCTGGTCTGAGTCAGGTGAAGCAGCGTACTGCGAACTATTTCAAGGCGTATTTTTGCGTTGGGTAGATGCTAATGTATATAACGGGTTTTGCCCTTACCCAACGTATATATTGATACAGTGTTTATCAATATCTACGTTGGGTAAGGGCAAAACCCATTATATACATTCAAAGATTTCATGACGAGGTATCAAAATGGCTGCTAAGTGTACATACAGTTAACCGAGAAGAGCCATATAAAGGGTCTTGTTGTCATAGGAGAGGGAACTTTGAGCAGCTGATCCATAATCATAAAAGCAGTTTACAATATAAAAATATGACCTAAATTATGTCAAACAATGCAGTTATTTATTAAAGTAAGCTTGCAGAAATAAGGAGCCCCTCGATGTCCGAGAGGCCAGAAACACTTGAAAACATCATTTTACTTGACTGTCCAAGCCAAAGCAGAGAACATGCATTTCGATGTGCTGCATGTCATTAAAGAGATCAAAATGAACACTTCAGCGAAGTAGAAAATATTACGGAAAAGACCAAAATGAAAGTTGACCAATGTGTTTACCTTGCTCTGCCATTACTGTTCTCTTTGAAAAGTCCTAGCTTGCCTTGGTCATTGGCTCTGTTTCCAACCTTGAAGATTTGAGTTGGAATGAAGAGGATGATGAGGAGAAATGCTGAGAGTATCAGCAGAATGTATAAATTCAGTTCTGCACTAGGCCTTCCTGTAAAATAAAGAAGTAAAATAAAAGATCTATATGATAAAGATCTGTGTATGTAGTTGATTGGCAGTTTAACAGATGTGAACATAGCAAAATGTTATACATGTGTACACATGGAAAAAAGTGTTAGTTGCACACGAGACTGGCCCCAGCACACACCACGTGCAAGTATCAGTTGACCGATGTAATATACATACATATGCAGGTGCATGACAGTGACACATTGAAGCATACTCCAACAATGAAAATGCAAAATCAGTGTTAGACAAACGCAACGTGGCGACATTTCCAATCATGCCCATCCACTACCTCAAATACTGCGCAAGTTCAATGCAGGTTTTTGTTAAAAAATATCAAACTATATTCTCTCTCATTTTATGGAACCAAAACTTCTGTTTTTATTCTTAACACAAAAATATATTTTACTTTTCAAGTATGCAAAACAACTAACAAGAAAAGAAATTCCGTAATCAAATCAACTGAAGAATCCTTACCTTGTGGCCACTCCAACTTGTCGTAGTGAGCGTAGTGTCTAGTAGCATCAAGACATAAGAATAAAGTCACAACTACAACAAATATGCAGTACCAGATGGACTCCAGTGAATTCAGTTTGATGGTCAGCTTATGTGAACAAACCATGACAGTGGTAGGAGGTGAAATCTGCTCCATCGTTATGACAGAACTTAGAAATTTTATTGATGATGAGACTCCAGTATTTCACTAAATGAGAGAGAGAAAAAGGTAATTAACAGTGTGTTCCTTCCTCCATGCTCTAGCAGACTGTTACAGAATATAGTTTGTATGGTGAAATTCAAATGGGATCAGACAAAGCCTTTCATATTCAGTCACGAGTTTAGAATGCACATAATGACATGAATGACGCAGAGAACAGCAAACAAGTTGTGTTTGCATATTACCACTATCCACTGTTCACCTTCAAGGCTTCAGTTCAGCTAAATGGTATGCCACAATGTACATATATATGATATGTTCGTACTAGTTATCGTCTAGTCAGTAGTAGTAGGCCTATTATGATCAACAGTGCAGGGGTTGGTGTTTCCATGCATAGAGCAAGGAACTGATCTCTGTACATGGTGTTTATAAGTATGCAGTCCATTGGCCGAAATTTGTTTGTTAGTAAGGTTAAAGCATGTTCCTTGCTCTTTGGTCGTGGTTACGCAATACAAAATTTAGTACATGATAGTAAACGCAAGGCGTTGTTTTCCTTTTCGATCAGACGGTCATCGTCTCTCTCCATGGCCGGATTATCAACTTAAGTTTAACACCATGAAATGCATAATGATGCATCAATTTGTTAGAAGGCCGTGCCTGTGAAGAGACCTACCTCATCCGTGGGACTTAAGAGAAAATGATGATTATCCCACAAATGTGTCCTGGGTCACTGGTCATCGTCTTGATGTCATAATGTCAGTCACCATGCACTGTGTTACCATTATCAAAATTGAGACCTTGACCTGTACCGTAGCCATTCATTCGTTTTGTTTGTTCAGTCGTCACCTAGTCACCGCATGCGTCACAACCACAGTCGGGGTCCAGCGGCGTGTGGGTACCGGGTGCAGTCCATGAATGGACTGCCGAGCTCGTTGGGCCCCCAGTTTCTTTTGAAAAGGAGTTTGTTCAAATTGTTCAGCTGGAAAAAAATGGTGGGTTTGTGTAAATGTGGGAGAGAAAGGTTTTGGGGTTTCCATCCAAGGGTGGAACTGATAAAACTGCCGTTGAAAAATGATCGTAAGAACCCAATAAAAGATTAAAGAGCCAATGTCATCATTTGAAAAATGGCCGCGCTCTGCTAGGCTAGGCCATCACTGTCCCTTTGAAGTCGATTTGTGCTCTCTCTTTCTGTTATCCTTCCTCCATGGCTAGGCCATGGCCAGCTAGGCTTGACACTTTTCGATCGGAGTGGGTGGGGTGTTTTCTGTATGGAGTTATGGCTCGATTAATTGACTAGCTCACGAAAATGACAAGAAATAGAATGATAAAGGTCAAGATAATAATTTAATATTTGCTCGGCTCGGAGAAACTCCAGCTGTGCTGGCTTGCATAAAACACGTATTCTTATACCTTCGACATGTGTTATTAACCCCTGAACTTTGATATTATACGCCCACGCTCCATCCAACCAACCCTTCCTCAAGTTAGTGTGGCGTTTCCTCCTATGGAGGCTTTGCCGACTATGATTCAGATTCAGATGCAATGTTCCACGTCACAGGGGCTTGAATTAGTGCACTACTTTCGGATGTTGAGTAGGCCTACACTGTATTAACGCGATGACTAGGGGACGTAAGCCTGCGGCATAGTGGTTCCCTGACCTGAAGATTCCAGGCCGGTACCCTGGTACTGTAGCTGTAGAAGGGTCGGATATTCCCCAGGGCTGAAAATGAATTAAAGCATGACGCATCTTGTCAGGCTCATCAGGGAAACCATGTCCCTCTACCTGTTTCGTAACACATACATGTACATGTTAAATAAAAAAATAATAAGTTGATAAACAGATGTAAAGCCATTTTTAATGCCAACTTCCATCCCCGTTTCTTCTCTCCCGTATTCTTTTCTTTTTAAAAAAAAGTGAATTTTCTATTTTTTTGCAAGTGTTCTGCCCCCACGACGGTCTTGCATGAGCAGATAGTGACTTTTGCTTGACACATTCAGTAGTAACAAGAAAAGAAATCTGTAACATTGAATGCTCATGTAGGTCATGAAATTTTATTGCTTAAAACATTATGTAAATATTACAATTAATTACATTTCCTTTACATGTAACCTGTATTTAAATTTTGAGTGACACACTACATTAAAGTTCATCATTATTTACAGGTCCTTGACAAATTTGACAAAAATATGGAAAGAACATGATTTAATTAATTTTCCTTTTGTTTTCAGTACGCATATAGCAAACAAATAAACTGATCAATCCGAGTCAAACTTCTAAGAAACCATTAAACGCTCCAGATATCCATGTAATAACATTTAACGATCCCATTCACAATGCTGTACCATTAACACTGACATGTACATTTATTGTGAATATACAAACTAAACAATAAATGTTACTTTCACGCTTCATCTTAATCTAAATATATTTACTTAGGTCTTACAGATGAAAATATTTAGCTTCGTTTAAATTTGGAACAAATAGGAAGTAAGCGGGGTTGGCAGGAATGAAGTGAGGGGAGACAATGAGTATGAATGAAGACACTGAAAGAAAAACCAGATGTTATTGTAGTTACAAGATAAAAAGCAGGTACATGTAGCTTTTCTTTTTTACTATACCTGAAATTGGACAAGGCAGATTTAAGCATGCAAGATCTGAAAGTTTATTGAAGCCAATCATTTGTAAAACTGTATATTACTTTACTAGGATCTGAGATGTCTGATTTCAGTTTCCTCATGTGCCATTTTTTTGTTTTATTTTAGTTGAAGATATCCTTCTCATTTTCCCTTCTGTTTTCCTTTGCCAATTACATGCATAGATTACAACTGTTATCACAAATCTAGTTACTTATGATACTTTTTGATACATTGGTGCAAAATTAAAGATTTTTTTGAAATTTCTATGATTTTTTAAAGCTTTTAATTATTTACATTCACCACTGGCATTACAAAGTACATAGAGTGCACCCTGGATTTATCATGGAGATGGGGAGGGCTTGGACCAGAATTTACCCATTAAAATAGTTGAGGATCCTTGCCCATTATGTCACATAAAACTTAGATTTATGGCTATGTTAGAGTTAGTAATTTGAGATGTAGCTGGATACTGCATCTTTTATTAAGGAAAATAAAACCAACTTCCCCCCTCCCCGGGTGCACCACAAAAGTTCACAGAAAAGGAATGAACTGACTTCCTCTGACAGATTTTTCAAGCAAAATATAAAAAGCAACACAAAGTAAAAGGTCAGAGGTTGCAAATGTAGTACAGGTAAATGTGATACACTATGACCCCTACCACTGCTTCATGGCCATAGAATGTGCGGAATACAAAATAGAACGGAACGTATAAAAAAGAACTTGCCAAATAAAAATGCTTAGAACATTCTTTATTTGATATTTAAATCATATATTTTAAATTTGCACATGATGAAGCTGTTAAATAACAATACAGCTTCCATCGGTCTCAGTAAGTTAATTTACCTGTTTTTTGTATCATGCATTACATAGTGACAATGAGTCTTGAACTGTCCAAGGGAGCATTCTTGTCTAAACAATACTCAAGGAATTTGTGATCCATTCAAAAAATGATCATATACATTTATAAACACATACCTCATGTTTATATGCCAAGATTATCCACAGCAATAACAAGTAAGATAATACAACAATTGTTACCTCTGGTAATGCAAGATATTTCTTGAAAAAGTGCAACATTTTCAGCATTATTTGGGTTTATAAAAAAGATTTGCGATAGCTAACTAATAACAAGTGCATCGTAACAGCAAAATCAAACCCCCCCAAAACAAGCTACAGCAACCCCCCAGGCAAATATTAACATTAAGTTCTATAACCAGATAAGATGATAGCAGGTTTATTAACAAACTGGGCTGATTGTTTGCTTATGTGGGACTTTTAAGACTGACTAAAATTTCCATATACTCACCAGCAACAAGTCATTTAAAACTACTACTGAAGAAAAAATTGTAGATTTACCATGTATGTATCATCATTTAACATATGGTGAATTTCATACACATCCGAGGAGTTGTGAATAGACTGGATCGGTAGATGAGGCAGCTGCTGATTGAAATACTGACATGAAAGCTCTTTTACTAGATTCATCTGTAACCTGAAATACAAAATAGTTCCAGGAATTATCGAAATATCTTGCAACCATTACAGCATCCTACTAGCAATAATAAGCACAGTATACCTTCTGGCCTTCATTTTATATCAAAGAATTCAATATGTTTTATTATATATATATATGCTACTAATTTATGAATTTTTCAATATCACCATAAATTAATGGAATTTGATGGCAGAAATATTTATACACATGAACATGGAATCAAAGTCCATAGCAATACCATACCTGATTAAGGAAGAAGTCACGGGCGACAATCAGGAAGTACTTCTTATCAATAGCCTCCAGACGTCCCATCCGGCCCACAATGTGAGGAAGGCTTAACAATGTCAAGGTTAAGACCACAGAAATCTTTAAGTACAATTATTGCAATATTCCGTTCATGAAGGCTGTGCTATTTATTACAATTTAGCAATGAAAGCCAACACTTAATTGCAGATGCTAGCAATTATGTTTCACCGTAAAGAATATATCCAAAAATAAATATTCACATCATCTCAGTTGGAAAGGAGATTTGTTTTATATTTGAAAGTTTGAAAACTTATGTAGCTACTGTTCTACAGAAGGTATTAATCATTCACAGATTTGCATTAAAAAACTATGTCGCATGAATACTTTCAACTGTGTGAAATTACAAGAAAAAGATACACCACAAGCTTTTTTCTTCATTTCAGTGTAGCATATGCAGGCATATGTTGAATTCCATTTAGTGCTTCTCAGGTATGAAAATAATAAAAAAAGGATACAGAGCTCTGATCCATGGATTGGCTGATGCACTGATGAAGAAACATGTCAAACTCCATACAGCCATTGCAATAGGTGTACGCTGAGTGAAGTTGGAGAGTGACAGCATAACCCAATCACGTACCCCTTGCGGTTGACCCTGACTGTGCAGACTTCCAAATACCTTCAAATTCAATATATATTAACCCTCCTTTAGTTTTACAGCACAAATATGCACGAGTGCCCACAGTTACTCTCTTGCATGTGATTTCTATACGGAACACAAACATGCACAGGTTCAGTGTGTACACAGTTGGTTGCCAGCACAAAATGGCCCAGGGTCTTTTGTGC